CCAAATGAAACAAAATCAACGATCGTTCCATAAGTAACAATAATCATAGACGTAGCAATAAAACAAGCTGTTGGGGTTAAATTTAAATATTTCGCTTTGACAAAATTTAAGTGCCAAAAAGCATTAGTAAATCAGATAAACCAAGGCGTAAAACATTTAATAGATTTTTTTATATGTTACAGATTTCCGAAAAATCTTCTAATTAGAAGACAGTGGTTTAGAAGCTTAGGAATTCCATATACAGAAACAATATCTATATATACCTATATATGCTCTGACCACTTTTGTAATAAAATGCAGGATAATATTCTTAGGATAAAGCATAAGTTAACAAAAAATATTTTATTTCATAATCAATAAATTTCTATTTGAGTAATATGGTTGTCTTTTTTCATTCATAACATTCATTCGATAGAGACAACCTAAAAAATAAACCAATTGACAGCTTTATTAGGGACAAACTTTAACTCCAGTAATATAGCCGTAACACGCAATGTAAAAATCTACATGTAATTCTATATAAAATATATATTTAAACCTGTTCTAATTTTTAGTTTTTTATATAAATTCACACATATGTGTTTGTGATAGGTAGGGTTAATGGACCGACTCTATAAAAATGAATTATAATTTTAAAATATGGTCAATCTTTTAGTTTCCTATATACAAATTTTATAAATTCTATGTAAGAGTTGATACCAAATTTTACACCGTGTCATAAGCTATTAAAATTAAAACTAGGATATACCTACCCAAATGGAATTTAAATACTTTGTTTTGTTAAAATCTCGTGAAAATCATATTAATTAACAGCTTAAGAGTATGATGAAATGTATCATTCCTTTTGTATATAAATGAGAGTAAAATTGTGTCAGTAGATCATCTCAACCGTATTCCAGGAAGAAGTAAATATGGGGGACTGTGGAGTTCATAAGTAATAAAATAGGTTGAAGAAAAGTTAAATAATCTCATAGATACCTTAAGAAATAAAACACGCTTTATTAACATATCTATTACACCATATTTTCCCTAGTTTATCTGCAGAAAATAAAATTTACAATTATAATTATTAAACTTGTTATTTTAGTTGCAATCAGCCCCTATAAAATGATACGCCACTGCCCATGAGGGAATGTAAACACAACTTCCTCACCCTTCCGATGAACTATTTTGGCTTCAAGCCACATAGGTATAAATTATGTATCTATGTCTTTTCTTGATCTGTGGACTCTAGCGTGACCACAAAACATCAAAGGAACCGCCGATTCTGTCGCTTCTCGTTGGTATAGTGTTCTCTGGCAATACGCAGGGAGGATGTGGCGATTTATCGCCAATATGGCTACTTTGCAACAGAAAAAGAGACAAAAAAAATTTATTTGGCGACTGGCGACATATTATGGCTACTTGTCACTCATTATGAGCGACTTATTGGCTACAAAATTGTAACCGCGGTTTTATAAATACATAATACTTTTCTTCTTATAAGCGATAAACAGATAAAAGTCTGGTGACAAAATTAGTATTTTGCATTTATATTGGCAGAGCATATTTGTACGTCATCCGTCCTTCTCTTCCGTTGCTTGGATTCTAGAATTCTACCAGGGAGAATTCTACAATACTACAATTGTAAATTGTCATTGTCATTAGTCATTGTACCCATAATTCTCGTTTTATCATTGAAGACTAAGGATTAAGGTTTATATATTTTGTGGTCAAGGCTGTCCTAACAATTATCAAATTTGTAAATTACCTATTATTCTTTTCAAATATTTAAATAATTACGATCTTTAGGAATCCAGACATCAATGAATAATTGTGTATAGCTTTTTGTATGATGAGGTTTTTACAATGGGCAAGGTGCAAGATAAATCGTGTAGCCGTATGTTCGTGTAACCTGGTACTGTAACACAGATCATATCAAATTTAATATAATTTTGAATTTAAATGAAAGTCGCGAACTACATATAAAGGACAATTTAAAAATTTGAATTATTGCCGCCAAAATGCTAATGTAGTGATATGTGATTCTAATCAAATTCTGATTTGTTTAAATTAGCGATTTAATTGCTTCGTTACTTGGTTTATTATAACTATGAATTAAGCAACCCTTGTCCCTTAAATTTTTCTGCCGTAGTTTAAATTCTTCTTATCTAATTATTTTCAAATGTTGGCGACATGGCGACTTTGTTTCTCTATTTTGGCTACTTGCTAAATCCATAAGTTTATATATTCTTATTTCATTCTGTATCCGAATACCGAAAATTGAAAATATGTGAAAATTCATTAATATAAAAATGTATCGACTATTTAAACATATTACAAGGTGGGCAATAGGGATATAGCTCCAAAATGGGGATTGACTGCGGTACTTATCATTCTAGAGTCTAGACTTATTTATTGTTAAATACTAGTTAAAATATTTGATTTAAATATTATGTAACCGGTAAAGAAACCGACGCACCACATTTCAAAATAACGTTGACCGAAAATAAAATCTTACAGAAAACTAGATATTAATTATTAATGAACAATTTTAGTGCTTTTCTGGGAGTGTCATTTGACTGATAGATGGCGCGGCTACATGAGAACTTGATTTGAACTTTCTTTTCCTTGAATTTTGACATTAATTGCTTGCATATTTGATAAATAAACATCTGTGATTATTTTGTGTTGTAAATAATTTTATTCAGTGTTAAATCATGGAACTACTATATGTGATAGTAGAAAATTAGTGATACTGTATTATTTAAATTCATTAATAGTATAAAGTGTACTCCATTTATTTTGTGGTTTATAAACTTAGGATTTACCTAACCTTAATGTTCATATGAAAATGTCTCCTGAAATCAATGGAAACCCACCAAGTGTAACAAAACGTAAGAAAAACCGCGATAAGAATCCTTCCACCAGTAACACAAGTAATTTTGATCCAAATATGTCTAACTGTAACTATTTTCCCATAAATTCTCATCCATATCAAAATCTCAGTATTCCTGACATATCGGCTTATTATTCTTTTTTAAATTATTCGAATCCGTCTGAACCAATGTCTTTACCAATTTATCCTATGAATTATCCAAATTACAGTTACCCAAATTTGAATTTTATGGGAAGTGTTAGTACTCCGAAACATATGTCAATGGTAAATAACATGTCCCACTTAAATGGCGATACAACTGAATATTTAAGTCTACCAGTGGTAAATTCTGATCAAAATGATGATACAACAAAGAGACGGTTTTCTGACCCAGGGTTGCCCAATGAAAGCGATTCAAGTTCCAATTCATTTGAGGATCGTATAATACAAAAATTAACACAACAAGTGAACTCATTGAAAGAAAACAACAGAAAACTTTCACGTGAAGTTATGGAAATGAGAATTGAATTAAACATGATTAAACAGCAACAGAATTTAAGACATTATGATCGAGATTATGAACCAGGAATGTTGGCTGATGTCATTAGAGAAGTACGAGATGCAGCTCGTGTTAGAGAGGATGCACTTTTAGCTAAAGTTAAGCATATAATAGAAGAAAAACAACTAAGCATGGTAAGTGTTTTTTTTTACAGCAACATTTTAGTTATAAGTCGGTACCCAAAATAAACGCACTTTTACTTTATAGTTTTAGTTTATAGGGTTTTTTTTATATAAACTTATTTGAATTGAATACCTTTTACAAATAAAAATTTTCAAAAGGTAAATGAAAAGAAAAATTTAATAAGTAAATTCTGATAGATTATCTATGTGAACCTATGTATTCGAAATATTTGAAAATCAGGTGTGACATAGATATTTACCTCAATACTTATGTATAAAAATAACTATTTCGAAACTAGCACTGCTTATATAAATTAAAAATTAGATTGTCACAAGTTACATTCTCTGTGACCTAACCTACATTACTAGATATGGTAATATAGTGAACCAGTCTTGACACCATTATATTAAAAAAAAAGAATTGAAACATTCACAATAAATTATATTCTTAAACAACAATGGCTTTACCCTCAAGTTAACTTTTTATTAAATTATTAAATAATTAGGTACATTACTCCTTTTATAAAGTAGATTAAATATTCAGCAATTCTTTGAAATTATTATATCCTTTTTTTAATAAAAACATATTTCACATAAATTACTTAATATTAATTCACTTAATATGTATTATTCTCGCGCATTATTTTTAATTTATATCTACGAACTATTAGTTGTAAATGTTATAATGTATTATCACTACGATTATTATTGTTTACTGTTTTGTAACATGTAGCTTAAGTTGTTTGTTGATAATTAATTATGATTCAACCCTATTAATTATGATTTAGACATTCAGGCAAATTGTGGTGTAAAATATAATTTCTTTAAATTTTCCTCGAAATTTTCACTACATGTAGGTATGTATTTAATTCATTTTTCATTTAAAAATGTGGGAGTACCTAGGTAAAGTAATTAATTATTAAACAGCCTTGCATTGTGTGTTTCATACTCAATAAGTATATTATAATTTTGTAATTTATATACTTACTTGGGTAAATATCTAAATCTAATTTAAATTTAAAAAATGATTAATAACTGTAACAAGGGGCCATATTTCAAGGGGAATTTGAATGAAGTTATCTAATTTATACCGAGTTGCCTTAGTTCAATTTTGTTGACTTTTTGAAAATATTTTTATACATGATATTTTTATTTATACATTTTGATGAAATCTACTATAGGTTTTTTTTCACTTACGACATAAATTGTGGAGAATACCAGAAGTAATCTTTTATGCAGTTATTTTATAATTTTGTATATGATGAGTTAATAAGTATATTTAATTTTTTTAAAACAAGAATCTAGAAAATTGTGGCATTTTTTAATGTGTACTGTGTTAATTTCAAATATCTATTATATCTACTTATACCTATATTTTTAAATTTTACTTAACCGCTATGTACCTACTTACATATCTAGACTTAATTTGATAGTCAAATCATATCAGATTTTTGTAAAAAATGTTTCATGTTCTATTTGAGTGTTGCTACTGTTACTAGTTCTGTCTAATATTTCTGCAAATAGGTAGATGTTACTTTTACTAAATTTAGATGTTCCGTAGATCTTTATAGATAATTTAAATGTGTATTACATTTTATATTTCCCATTATTATTTCTTGTTAGCTAATTATTATATAGGTACTTGACTATTTCTTGCTAGCTAAGAAAAATCATTACTTACAGGCATTTCCGATAGAGGAAGAATTTATTTCTAATATTTTTATAAGGTATCTGTACAGTAAAATATTCTTTTTCATCAGTTTGTCAGCCTGATGAGCCCTCTAGTGTCGACTAGGAAAACGTTGACGTTAGTGCCTAATCTGCTCGCTAGATGGCTCTCGCGGTTCTATCCGATAGCTCTATGTAAATTTATATCTCTCTCATGTATGCTTTGTACATAATAATAAAGCACAGTGTTTATATTTGCAAAACAATATTGGCATGTGGACTGTGTGCATTTAGTTTCACCCTTTTTTGTATTTTTTGCCGTTTATACTGGAAGTTTCTATTAAAAATTACAGTTTTTATTCCGGTTCATTAAGGTAGACACGACTTTTAATCCAATGTCAAGTAATGTTTTTGTTTTTCTGTGAAATAGTTATTATAGAAAAAATAAATGGAAAAGTTTATGCCGAAGAAGACAGTCGGTATAATGTTGAATTTATTAAAGATAATTAATTTTTATTTATAAAATGTTTGAGTTTTTCTGTTTCATATTTGCTGTCTCAATTTTTAAATATCCTTGTCTTGAACAATAGTGTTTTGCGAGGTGTTTTGTTACATAACCTTTAATCAAATCCAAAAGGGTATAAAACGTTTGTTAGGAAATGTTTTTAATGATGAATTAGCTAAAACAAAAAGAAGCAGGAAATTTCTCAATTTTTTTTATCATTTTGTTTTATCATACATTTTTCGTGTAATGTACTGCAGTATGTTGGCCATATTAATCATGTTCTATTATCAGATTCAGAAAGATTTAAATCGAGTAATTCCAAAAGTTATTTAAAAATATCGAGTGTTCTCAAAGTTGAGTCATTTATTTTAACGGCTGATAGAACTGGTAAAAACAGTCGATTTACTAAAAATTGTTTATATAAAAGTTGCCAAATAGAGCAATTATTAAAAAAAAAATGAAATTTATAGTACAAACCTGTCATTTTTGACCACTGTGTTGTAAAAACAAAAATGAGAAACAAATTGTAACAATTATGAACAATTTTTGTAAAACAGGATTTTTACAACACTCTTCTTCTGCAACTTTTATATAAACGATTTTTGGTAAATCGACTTTTTTATTAATTCTACCAGCTGTTAAAATAAATCACTCAACTTTGAGAACACCCTGTATATTAAGTTAAAATTATCCATTGAAACTCTACGAATGAAAAACTGATGGAAGTGTTAAATCAAAATTCCACAAGGTTGATTAATTATAAAAATAATTTTTCTGGTGTTTATGCATGTCCGATATGCATATTTATGTTTGTAATTCTCATTTGTGCCTCTGTTAACCGTTAAATATTAATTTAGGAGATACCATGTTCACGTTGGCTAGATGCTGCGGTTTGCTAATGGCCAAGTTATACAACATAGGTGGTCTCACCGACTAAAAGTGCGAACCCTCTACTAAAAATAGGCTATACATGTTACTTCCGGGCTAGTTTTATTTAAATGTAAAGTTGTGATCTACGCTATCGGATGCAGATACACAACTCGTGAATCTTTTTACCTGCTATTTATCCCAGCAGTCTGGTATATTTAAGGAATACCTACCTACCTACCTACCTAACTACCTACCAAATAATAAGTGAAACTTCAACATAGCGCTAAGGGGTATATATAGGGAAAACAAAATATCTCCCACCTCTATTTTCTTGCTAATTTAAAGTGATATGAAGACAGTAAGAAAATATACGTTAATTTTAATACTTTTTAGAAAGAATTCAGTTATTTCAGCAGAAAAATTATAGGTTATAAAACTAATATTGTGGGGAAACAACTACTCTGCGCGATTTAACGCCCGATCAGTAATGAATTACACTGGCCTTGTTGTGCCAGCAAATAGTAAGATGCCAGTGAGTACCAATAAGATGGTGTACCTAGCAGATTGGTACTATCTGGAAGTTTGACCGCATTGGAGACCTAGGCGTTAACATCAGTAACCATTTAAAATATAATACACTTTGTATGTTATAAGTCACCTATAGCTATGTCAGTATGTAGGTAGATAAATATCAATTTAGCTAGATTGTTCTCCTGTGGTCTTACCTATGGCATACTGATGAGAACTAATAAGCTCGAAAGCGTTTGGTGGTTTTACTGATGAGCGATCTATGCGTTTACTGCGAGTATAATTAAATGCTTTCTGAACTATTGATGTAACGAATGTCAGTTTTTTAAAATATGCCGCGCGCGACGCACATAATATTTCCGGTGACAGCGGCGTTAGAGGCTAAAGAAATTAGCGTTGTTAAGTTGGTAGAACGGTATTTTTGTATGATTGGAATTTTGTTTTGTTTTCGCTACCGGCTCAGATGAGTTTGTGAATTGTGAGGTTAGACTGTTGTTAATTATTTCTTAACATGAGTAAATCAATTTCTTGATTATAGAAAGATATAATTGTTTTAAGTAAGTTTTGTAATTAAAAAGAAAATAAATGAATACTTTTTTGTTTAATTTACCTAATATTGTTTTCACATTCTGTATTTTTCTTTCACGTTCATATTTGCAAAATATTCAAAGATATTTGCGATTGCGAATGCGAATGCGAGTATCATAAATCAAACGAATATTCGCGAATGCGAATGCGGATATTGGTTACATCACTAGTCGGAACATTAGCCCGCAGGGTAGTTGTTCCCCATTTCGTTGGTTTGTTTTGCTTAATGTGACACTGGTCTTGCTTTCATAGCACCTGCATATTAACAGGTTGCTCTGTGCCAATTCACTCAGTAGTACTAACCATTTAGCATATAACACAGTTTGTATATCGCACCCATAGATATAAATGTCCGAGTCAGGTTGGAATGAACGAAGAGTAAACCGCGGGTGAATTATGGTGTACATGGGACAGAAATTTTAAGGGTAAGTCAGAGGAACTCATGGAGAATTTAGGGGAAATCGGAGGAATTCTGACGAAATTCAAAAGAAGTCTTGGGAATTCAGAGGTAGTCCGAGGAATTTACATTTTTGTTAAAAAAGATTAACTAGTAAAGTGACAAAGAAAAGTATTTCGATGTTTATTTTTAGGGATTCTTCGAGAATTTGTGATTTTTACTTTTTTTTCTTTTAAAATTTATTCTATGGTTCAGAGCAAGTTTTAAAAAGATAAATAAATAAAATAAAATAATGCGGCAAATTTGCTCTATAAACCCGTGTTTATAGAGTAATTATTATTAACGATTTAAAAGTGTGTAACATTTTATCTGCTCCCACAGTCCCTTTATGGTTCATGAAATAAAGATTAGGTTTTATTTTTTGACATTTCTTAATCAATTCATTTTGACATTAAT